CACAGAATAATAGTGAATGTAAACTATAGTTGAAAAATTAAAAAATAAATTTTAGGGAATGAAGTTCTCTGCCATACCAGCCCCATTCTGCGTGCTCACGGCCCTCAGACATCAGCAGTCACAGAAGTGTCTTCTTCGGAGACGCCAGGGAACTTGGAATCCACCTGGGACCCCCTTCTGTCCGGGACAGTCGGATCCTTCCAATACTCACGCAGGTATCACCTTATAGAGTGGCCTGCTCCACCTTTGAAAACTTTAGATTAGGAAGTTCTTCCTTAACTGGGTCAGAATCCATGTCCCTCTCCAAACACAGGTGAGGGTGATGATTCTTCCCCCTGGAACTTCATCAGACCTTCGATGCCAGCGTCGTGCCTGCTCAGACGGCTCTGTCCCCGCTACCTCGTGCCATACAGGTGTGAGTGGTTGGGAGCGTAAAACAACCCCCCACGGTAACCCGGCTGCAAACACAGACATCACGCTGAGTGGCTTGCTGTGGTTTGCCCGTTTGAAAATGGTGTGAAGATAGAAAAGGAAGCCAGAAACTCTACAAAGAAAAGATTTGCTTCCAAATGGTGTCTAGCGAGAGGGTGCTCTTGATCACCGTTCAGGAAGAAAGGGGAGCGTCTGCCTCTCCGCGGGGTTCTGTGGGGGACGTTGTAGGTGAGATACTGCATTAGGTGCCAGAGACGGGCGCTCGTGACCGTGGGGTCTCGGCTGGGCTGCGGAGATGATCATGGCAGTGTCTGTCCCACACTGGCAGGAAGGCGTGGTGGTGTCCACAGACAGACAGTCACCACCCCACGGAGCACTTGGCTGCGCATGTTTCGGAGGAGCCAGCCGATGAGCCGTGGAGTTCAGATGGTCACAAGCAGTTGCTGTCACCTTCTGGGGGTCACTAAATAAGGGGACCCACAGACCAAGCTTCCTAAGGAAGAAGACTCTGACCACACCAGCCTGGGCCAGCAGGAGACCGGGCACTGCCTAGAAGCTGTTTTCTCACCAACAGAATCACAGCCGCTGGCCTCACCACATTCAGTTCCATGACCCCTCAGAAGTAATGACGTCACCACCACCAGCCACGCCCCTAGCATCCATGGTTGATGGTGTTGTGTACATACATATGGATGCATGTGCACACATATATGTATTCATACACATACAAACAACATGTACAGGTAGGATTTTATGTAGAATTATTTTATATATGTATATGTACACATACATAGGTAAGTGTGATTTTAGAATGTGTGTGTGTATATATATATTTTGTTTGTTTGTTTGTTAATCCTCACCCCAGGATATTTTTTCCATTGATTTTTTAGAGAGTGGAACAGAGTCGGGGAGAGAGAGAGAAACATCGATGTGAGAGAGACAGTGATTGGTTGTCTCCTGCACGACCCTGACAGGGGCTGAGGATCAAACCTGAACCCAGGTACATACCCTTGACTGTTTGGTCCACAGGCCAATGTTCTAACCGCTGAGCCAAACTGGCCAGGGCTATTTCTACATTTTAATGGTCTTATAATTTGTACATAAATATTGCACATTTCTAGTTGTGCACACTTATATCTCGTGTTTCTGTATAACACGTGTGTGTGTGTGTATGCACATGTATACAGGAGGACATGTCTGGAAGGACACACAGAAACTTTTCATGGTGGTTACCTTGGAGAGTAGGAATAAGCTCTTGGGGATGGAGTGGAGAGAGACACACGTGTATTTCAGTATATGGTGTTTATTTCCTTACTGTCTGTTCGCTACTTTCAGAACAACATAAGCCTCGTCATTTCTATTCGGTGATACGGACGGAGGACACATCATCCGATACGACTCCGAGTGCACCAGGTTCGGCCCGTCCAGGGCCTCACCTTCCGTGATGTGAGTCGCCGTGTTGTCCCACACCTGCTAAGCTGAGACAAGTGGCCCCAGTGCAGATGGCATGAGAGGCTGTGACAGGGCCCTGCACACTCAGTCGTCACGTGCAGGTCCCCAGAGCTTGGCGACAGGCGCCCAGAGCTGCCCACTGAGTGTCGTCCTCAGGTCCTGGCCCTTCTCGCGGGGCTGTTTCTGAAAGAGGCGTGCATGTGTGTGACGGAGAGGGTGGGCTGCCAGGCACAGACGGGCGGAGGGGAGCAGGGAGCGGGGCGCTCGACGGGACAGTACGGCCGAGGCAGCAGGGTGGGCGGGCGGCGTCCTGTGGGGGTGCTCCTCTCTGCCCCAAGGCCTGAGGCGCCATAACTCACCCCTGTCCCAGCTGTGCGGGAACATCTTTGCTGGTAAAATGAGGTCTCATTCCGGAGAGTTTCATGGGAATCAGTGAATTCATGTCCCTTTGCCCAAACACGGCCCCTTCCCCTGTGCTCGCCGGAGTCCTGAGTCAACTCCCTGGAATCCGCTCGTGCTGGGCGTTGTCTCTGCCGGGCGCTGTGCCCAGTCCTGGGGGGGTGGGAAGCCTGCAGCGCCCCACATCAGGACATCCACCGTCACACGGGTGAGGCGTGGAAATCTCCACTGCGACCCCAGGGTCCGCTGTCCTGGCAGAGCGGGGTGCGGAGCGCTCGGACGGCCACTCACCTGCAGAGCGAAGAGTTGGAGAACAGGTAGGACTTTGCCACGCAGAGACTTTGGAACAGAAAGGCTTGAAAGTGCATGAAGGATCCAGAGAAAGGGAGCCGATGGGTTTGGCTGGAACACAGAATGAGGGCAAGGGGGCTGGGCAGGGCCAGAGCCGGCTGCAAATGACACGTGGCGTCATGCCAAGGAGCCTGCACTCTGTCCAGGGGCAAGAAGGGCCAAGACGGTCAGGAGTTGATCTGATTTTCCTGTGAAGGGAAATTATCTGCACAGTTCCTCACCATGAACAAACTAATAATTCATTCCCCATGGGGACCTTGTCTGCCTGCTTCTCCCTCGTGACTGACTGGCCATGCAGTATTGCTAAGTGTAAAGCGAGGAAGAAGTTCTAAACCTGTCTGGGACTCAAAATCCCCCATGTGATGAGTTAGTGAAAGCTAGGCATTTTCTCCCCTAGAAATGCAGGTACAAAATATTGTGTATGAGCCCAGGGAGCTCAAGGAACGCCTTCAAAAACTCCTGAGTTAAGGGATGTATAGGCAATCAAGTGACAGTTTTTATTTTTATGGGATTTTTAAAAAAAAAAACAACAAAGAAATTACGTTCAGTCTTAGGAACTTTCTAAACTTCACATTGGGCTCAAAAGAATGAATTCAGACTTTGATTTCAGTGATAAAACCTCAGGTCATCTCCCAAACGCAGAGCGGGATGTTGAACTTTTTTTATTAAAAAAAAACTCGAACTCATATTTTATTAACATGAAGAGGCTCACAGGCTATTTTAGGAGGCCCGAACAGGAAACGAAAGAGGAAACAATCCTATAAAATAAGGTGAAAAACAACAATCCCATCGGATGTCAATTGTCAAGAGCCTTTTCTTCATCCTGCGCGGAGGTGGCGGCCGAGGCCGAGGCCCTGGGCTGCCCACTCCGAAGGCCGGTGCCTTGCAGAGGACGGTGGGTTCTCTGCGGGTCACTAACCTGGGAGACCTCGAGACACAGTTCCTGTCGCACTGGGAACTGAGCGCACATCTTTCGGAAGGGGATTTCCTGTTTGGGACCCACGGAGGACGCTGGGTGGGGTGATGGGGGCCGGGTGCAGAGAAAGGAGTCACAGTCTGCCTTCTGTAAACCCAAACAGGATGTTTTTGGGTGGCGACAATAAAGCCCATTTCACTGAAAAATAAAACCATTTTTTTTTTAAAAGCTCTTGTCTGTGAATGTGGGGAGAACCTGATGTGGTGGCCGGAGCTTGCGGCCTGGCGGACGGAGGGAGAGTTGGAGGAGAGCGTGAGAAGCGGTGGGTGGGGAGGCCGGGCAGGCGAGGGACTGGCCGCTGCCCTCGGCTGAGTCCAGCAGAGACAGGTACCCTAGAGGGACTGGGCAGCCGACTCTACCCGCGCCGGTGGGGAGGCCCGGCGTGCAGGTCGGGGGCAGGGCTGCCCTGGGCTGAGTCCAGCAGAGACAGGTACCCTAGAAGGACTGGGCAGCCGACTCTGCCCGCGCCGGTGGGGAGGCCCGGCGTGCAGGTCGGGGGCAGGGCCGCCCTGGGGGTCAGCAGGGGGCTGCAGAAGGAAGCCATGGTGTTGGCTGTCCAGCTTGGCAGAAAGCCCCAGGCAAGAGCTGAGGGGCTCTGAAGCCAGGCTGCAGTCAACCTTCAGGGGCCAAGTGACCAGAGGGAAACCTGAGACTCAGACCAGGCTGCTGGGACAGAGTCACACCAGCCTCAGATGCCCAGGGGCAGAAGCAGAGCAGCTGGGACTCAGAGGCACCAGCCAGTGCATGGCCAGGGATGCCCCAAAGAGCCCAGGAAAGCCCCTGACACACCCAGGTGCTACCCGAACGGGAAAGAAAAAGTTCTGCAAGTCTGAGAAGCCATTCGAATCCGCTATGACTGATGGTGTCCCATGGTACTTGAATAGATGGAAATGTAGACCCAAAGGGGACTGTTCAGATGATCAGTTATTGTTGGCGTGTCTAAATGTCCTCCCCGTCCACAGGGCGGGGTTCTTTAGGAGGAGGGAACCAGCCACAGGGAACGAAGAAATTCCCTCGCCCTGGCCGTGTGCCGCGAGTGGATGTGGAATCCTGCCACACGATTCTGCACACGTTCAGGATTGCATCTTTTTTATTACCATCTGTGAAAAAATAGAGGGGTCCACATTTTAATTAACAGGGCTTATTTTAAATATACTAGGCAAATATCATTACATGTGCTTAATAAAGTATCAACTTTCCTGTTACAAAGACCATAGATTTTGTGTGTGTGTGTGTGTGTGTGTGTGTGTGTGTGTGTGATACACACATGTATGTATCTTATCCGTAGTTCCTTTTTTTGTTGTTGTTGTTACATTTCCTGTGTGCCGAGCTGGGGTAGTTATTCTTCTGAATGATGCAATGGGTTAGCGAGATAATAGGAAGGAAATCGTTGAAGGTACAACGACACTGCCGTTCGTTTCGTTTTGATTAAACAGGTGGAATTCCACGCAGGCGGAAAGTTTTGAGGGCGGCACCTAGCCCCGCGCCACCAGTGAACAGGTGGGGGTAAGTCACCGACTTGGGGGTACGTCAGTGAAAGGCGCCGTGGTGGTTTCTAGCATCTCACCTCTCACCACCAACCCCTGCTGCTCTGAGCCTTCCCGTTCAAAATCCAGGCTTTTGGAGCCATCGGAAAAGGCGATGTTGTTACTTGGGAGATGCTAAAGCCCCTCACCCTCAGAGAAGGGGGGTGGGTGATTCCCTGGAAAAGGAGTCAGACGGCCCTCTTGCATTTCCCTCACCAAGTCATGCTCTGATGAAATGCAGAGGAAGCCCTGGGAACAGCGGGACCTGTGGGAGTTTTATTCTGAATAAAAGCTACTGCAATTCATGATAAGGATTATTCTTCCTCTAGTACAGAGATGTGATGGAGACGTCAAAAATCAACCAAAATCTTAGGTGTAATATTTTGGAAAGTTTGATGTGACCTAATTTTGGTTCGCTGGAAATATTGCTAATTAAAGACGAATATATTTGACGTGCGAGAATGCTACACTTTCTTTCTAACTAATGGTGTGATGTTGAAACAAGAATTAATGCAAATAACACGAAGATCCCAGTTGAACTTCCTGCTTAGGTTTTGAAAAGGATATAAACTTGCCAGCGTAACGAGTCATGTTTCTGCTTTGTTGTGTTGCTGTGGCGTGCAGCGGGGGCAGCCATCACAGTATTTTAAATGGAGAAAAATACCCAATTTGAAGTAGAGGAAATATGCTTACTGCAGGGTGTCTGAGGTCTGAAGGCTGTGCAGAGAATGCCCGAAGGACTCAGGTTTGGGAAAAGTGTGGGCCCGTTACTATACTCTTACCTTCCCTTTGTTTCTTCTGTTTAGTGGCACAAGTGGTTTGTGGCCAAAGAAAGTGCCGACAGCCCTGGCTGGTTTGGCTCAGTGGTTAGAGCGTCGGCCCGTGGTCCAGAGAGACCCGGGTTCGGTTCCTGCTAAGGGCACGTACCTCGGTTGCAGTTTGTCCCCGGCCCTGGCTGGGTCATGCGGGTGGCAGCCACTCGATGTGTCCCTTTCACGTCGATGTTTCTCTCTCTCTCTCTCCTTCTCACTCTATCTGACCAAAAAATGGAAAAATGTCCTCGGGTGAGGATAAAAAATGAAGGAAGTGCCGACAGCCTAATTATGTGCCCTCACCCCCTCACCAGCACCCGCGGGCTCTGGCCACGCTCAGAGACAACGGGACTCCCAGCAGGGCTCCCAGACACCGCTCCAAACACCCAGGTCAGTGCCGTAGCAGCTGGGGATTGCTCCAGGACACCTGCTGGCAGGTGGGAGGGCCCAGAAAGGGGCGCTCTCTATCCACCCCAGTTATATGGGGGGAGGAGGGCTGGTCACCCTGGCTTTCCATCTAGGCTGGGAAATCACTAAGCCGTCTGTGCCCCGTCTTCTACGTGGAATGGGAGGAAGCATTCAGCCATTCGGTGTAGGAGACGGTCATGAGTACTAAGTTAGAACAGGAACGTGCTAAGCTCAGTGCCTGGATTTGAGAGGGAACTCTGAGCTCTCCTTCCTGCTGTTTCTGCTCACATGAGTGAGTAAGCACACACTCACCGAAGTGCTCACACCATCCCTGCGTGCCACCCTGCGGCTCTCTCACACGGGGTGCATGTGGACTGCTGGGGGCCATTAGTCCCTACCCCCTAAGCAGCTCTGAGAGCCCCCTCTTTGTGCTTCCCTGCCCAGCCCCCAGGTTAAGTCACATTTTTCAGATGCATATCTCAGCCCGATTAGTTTTTTATTGTTCTGCTCATCCAGAGAAAACCAGATGTTTCTAAATCCTTCCTGGAATAACTCAGAAAGAAGCCACAGAGGGCCCTTCTCTGCCCTGGGCTTTAATTTCCTGCCTCCTTCTCCCACTTGATGATGACGATGGTGACAGGAAACAGCTGTCACTCGCTGGAGACCCCGCACTGTGTGGAACCCTTCACTGCACAGTTCTTCCTGCGATTCGGAAAGTGTCTTTTGTCCACACACAGCTCTCTTCATCCCAAGGATTCTGCCTTCCCAGGAAACCCTCCTGACATATCTGGGACTTCCTCAGCAGCAAGCTTTCTGATTCTGCCAGCCAGAGGCCCCCTCACCGAAGGGATCCCTCTGCCGCCTGCCATCAGGGAGAACGTGGGCCCCCAGGCCCTGGGGCCCCTTCCCTTGGTGACATAGTCTGTTCAGCCCCATTGTGTGGCCAAACTTTGCATACCCCTCCCCCCAGCCTGGGACACAGGGAAAGCCAGCTGGGCCAACTAGAGCCCTCATGTTGGCCCAGAGGGGTCCTTAGTTCCTCATGCCACCTGTTCTTAGCCAAGGGTCCCAGGCAAGACCCTTGAATGTCTCTGGACTCTCGCACCGCCTCCGCTGTGCGTTTCCCTGGCATCACGTCATTGGTTCCCCGCCTCCCTACACACCTTCAGTGCCCAGCGGCAATGGGCACCCGCATGCCGCAGGGATCCTCAACGCAGTCCTTGACTGTTCAGCCAGGGGTGCTGACCTCCTTCCCTTTGATTGTCAAATTTGAAAAATGACAGCAGCCAACACAATCATAGCCGTCCCGCATGATTGAATCAAAATGAGACCTATTTTTTGTCAGATCAGCAAAACATTAATATATTTTTTGGTGTGCTGCAGAATTTTAGTAATTAGTTTGTGTGTGCCGTGAGGTCAAAAAGGTTGCAAATTACTGGTGTACATGGCTCGCTCTCTGTACCAAACACTCTCACATAAAATAATCGCTCATTTAACTCTCATAGTAATGTTTGGATGCTATGGGTCAGGCCATGGCTGAGGTTCAGAGATATCAAATAGGTTTGTCAAGATGACGCTGGTAGTGACAGCTGGGACTGGGGTCTAGGTCTCTGACTTCTAGTTCAGTACTATGTACACTCTGCTATTCTGCTTCCTGAGCTTGTCAACAAGTCATCTGTTTTCAGGAATGTCAGCAATAAGACTGTATCCTTTTATATCTCATTTAAATACTCAGTGCTATGGAAAATGGTGCTCTTCTGATTATATTCAGCAGTAGTCATATTTAGTAGCATTTAGTAAATTGAAAGTGTAGAATGCTAAGGAACATTGAGTACTTAAACCATTTTAAAAGAGTGATTCACTACCATTACTAAGAAAATACGAAGTGGGGATGATTCACTATAGAAAGTGTAAAGGAGACTTTGAAATAGACAAAGCACGAATCACAAATATTTTTTTGTTTGAAAGAGAGAGCAAGAAAAGAAAAAAAAACAACAAAAAAAAAACCCTTTGTGGTTACTTTTCTTACAACTAAATCTCATTTTACTAGAAAAGGGCTTGGCCAGCCTATTGATTCATCCTGGAAGGATGCTTTTTTTCTTGTTTTAGATTTTTTTAAAAAGACCTCATGTTCATTTTAATAATTTCATTTCCTTCTTCTGTGTCTTCTCCTTCTTGTTCTCCTTCGACTCTTTCTTCTCTTCCTCCTCTCCACCCCCTCCTCCTCTTCTGTATGTTTTTCGCTTCTGGAGAGCACTAAAATTAGTTCACACACAGAAATCACATGCTGTGCTACAAAATGAATGTCGGAATGTCAGCAGTAAGACAGTATCCTTTTATATCTCGTTTAAATACTGCGTGCTATGGAAAATGATGCTCTTATAATGATATTTAGCAGTAGTCACATTTAGTAGCATTTAGTAAATTTAAACTGAACTTTAGGACTGGCTCCTTTGTCCTTTCTTCTTGCCTGTAGATGAAGCCGCCGATTTTTCTCCGAGGCAGAAGCAGGCATGGGAACCGTCTGCCTCCGGGAAATTTCCAAATGTGTGTAGAGTAGGGTATTGGTAGAACCCACGGCACGTATCCACGTTTAAGAAAAAAGAGAGATTTCTTCTAAAACATTGACTCACATGATCGTGGGGGCCAGCAGATCCCAAAGCTGCGGGATGGACAGTGGAGCTACAGACGCAGTTCAAGTCACTTTCCAGAAAGTCTTACTTCGAGGTCTCAGTTGCTTTCTTCCAGTTTCCAAAATTGACTCATGTCTTACTCTGTCCCCCATCCTGTCTCGGAGATGTAAGGAGAGTCCAACAGAAACTGAGTGGGACCTGGGGAAAGCAGAAACTGGGGGTCCCAACTCCCCTCAGTCCGAAATCATGCCCTCCTCCCCGGGCTGCCCCCTCGAAGAGCCCCTGAGCCTGGACGATCCTATCCTGACTCTTCGAGAACATCCCCCCGAGTCCTAGGATTTATTCTCATTGAACACACGGGTCCCTTACTGATCCCTGAAGCAAGGCTGTGGCCGAGGAGGAGCTGGCGCATTGACCGGCCAAGCTTGGTCCCCCGCTGTGCTCTGGAGTCCGACAGAACCTTGGCAAACGAACGGATTGATGTCAAGGGAAGCTGATGGGCCACAGAGAACCTGCGGGGTTGGCTCGTCCTCCTCTAAGTCAGGACGTCAGCGGCAGAGGAGGGACAGAGGCTGGAGTCTAAAGACATCATGGGCTTTAAGAATCATGAAGAGGCTATTACTATTTTAATATATCATCAATCTTAATCATTAGTTGTAGAGAAGTCTACAAGGTAAAATTAACTCCAGTTTTATTTTTTTTTTATTTTTATTTTTTATCCTCACCCGAGGATATTTTTCCATTTTTTGTACAGATAGAGTGGGAGAGAGAGAGAGGAAGGGAGAGAGAGACAGAAACATCAGCGTGAAGGGACACATGGAGTGGCTGCCACCCGCACGACCAACCAGGGCTGGGGACAAACTGCAACCGAGGTACGTGCCCATAGCGGGAACCGAACCCGGGTCTCTCCGGACCGCAGGCCGACGCTTTAACCTCTGAGCCAAACTGGCCAGGGCTTAACTCCAGTTTTAGTAACTCCAACGCTGGGGTACCAAAGAGGGTCAGCTCTTCCCCTGTGCAGTTTAGGGAGTCGTGTGTGTGTTTGAGGTGGGGCGTGATTCGATGTGTGTGACGAGAGCAGAGTTTTAAAGAATAACGACTTGGTACAAGGAATAGGTCGAGGCTGAAGAAAGCGGAGTTGGGGAAACTACAGCCCTAACCCGAGAGCGTAGGGGTGCACGGGGGGCCTGGAGGTGCAGGGGGGTCACCAGGAAGGAAGGACGCCAGGTCTCCGCGTCGGGTCCGTGTGGGAATAAGGAGGAATCCGGGGGACCTAAGGGTTTGCCACCTGCCGAGAGAGACTGCACTTGGGGGACGAGGTGCTTCAGCGCCTCGAGTCTGAGACGCCTGCACATTCACGAGATGCGCCCGGAACCCGGGGAGCTCTCGGTCCGGAGGGGGCTGGGAGGCAGCTCCACGGCGATCTCGCTGTAGAGTCACTCAGGGAGGGGAGCAGGTGAAGCAGAGGTCTGAGCACAGCGCCGGGCAGGGACCACCCCTGGGACCCCGAGTGGGGACCTGAGTGAGGAAGGGAGAGGAACGGGGGGAAGGACAAGAGGGCAGTGAGCGTCCAGGAAGGGGAACCTCGAGGTCCCCTACAATGGCCAGTGCCACCCAGTGGGTCTGGAGTTTGGGCAGAGTGACGAGGAGGCCCCAGGAGAGCCGGACTCTGACGTGTGATCGGACAGCGGGCGGGCGGCGCGCTAAGGGGCAGGCGGGAGGTCACAAGGCAGGCAGCACACTGGTCACCCCGGCTCCCCAGGACTGTGTTCTCTGGGGCTTTTCTGGCTGTTTTGGTTTCCAGAAAACTGGTACTGACGATAATATCTTTCATTGCTACCTGACATGTGTCCTGTGGTTGGTAATTTTCAGTTCCATTTCCTAATATCGTACCCATTTCATCGATGAGGACATGAAAAACCAGAGAAGCTAAGATCAGTCAGCTGATGCGCGCGGAACAGGATGGATGCCCCTTGGGGTGAAGTCATCCCTCGGTGCTCTGCCCTCTCTGACGGGCCCAGCAGGGCTGGCATGAGGAGCCCATCGAGAAGTCTGATGTCTAAGGTAGGTGATGTCTCAGAGCCTGGATGTGACATGGAAAGACTTCCAGGGATTTCCAACAGGAGCCAGTAAATGTATCTCTGCAAAACCATCCCTTCCCTTCCCTCCCCTCCCCTCCCCTCCCCTCCCCTCCCCTCCCCTCCCCTCCTCTCCCTCCCCTCCCCTCCTTTCCCCTCCTCTCCCCTCCTTTCCCCTCCTCTCCCCTCCCCTCCCCTCCCCTCCCCTCCCCTCCCCTCCCCTGTCCTCCCCTCCCCTCCCTGTCCTCCCGTCCTCCCCTGCCCTCCCCTGTCCTCCCCTGACCTCCCCTGTCCTCCCGTCCTCCCCTGCCCTCCCCTGTCCTCCCCTGCCCTCCCCTGTCCTCCCCTGTCCTCCCATGTCCTCCCTTCCCCTCCCCTGTCCTCCCCTCCTCTCCCCTGTCCTCCCCTCCTCTCCCCTGTCCTCCCCTGACCTCCCCTGTCCTCCCCTGTCTTCCCCTCCCCTGTCTTCCCCTCCCCTGTCCTCCCCTCCCCTGTCCTCCCCTCCCCTCCCCTGTCCTCCCCTCCCCTGTCCTCCCCTCCCCTGTCCTCCCCTGTCCTACCCTCCCCTGTCCTCCCCTCCCCTGTCCTCCCCTCCCCTGTCCTCCCCTGTCCTCCCCTGTCCTACCCTACCCTCCTCTGTCCTCCCCTGCCGTCTCCTCCCCTCCCCTCCCCTCCTCTCCCCTTCCCTCCCCTGTTCTCCCCTCCCCTGTCCTCCCCTGTCCTCCCCTCCCCTGTCCTCCCCTGTCCTCCCCTTCCCTGTCCTCCGCTGCCCTCCCCTCCCCTGCCCTCCTCGTCCTCCCCTCCCCTCCCCTGTCCTCCCCTCCCCTGTCCTCCCCTGTCCTCCCCTTCCCTGTCCTCCGCTGCCCTCCCCTCCCCTGCCCTCCTCGTCCTCCCCTCCCCTCCCCTGTCCTCCGCTGCCCTCCCCTCCCCTGTCCTCCCCTCCCCTGTCCTCCGCTGCCCTCCCCTCCCCTGCCCTCCTCGTCCTCCCCTCCCCTCCCCTGTCCTCCGCTGCCCTCCTCATCCTCCCCTCCCCTCCCCTGTCCCTCCCCTCCCCTGTCCTCCCCTGTCCTCCCCTCCTCTCCCCTGTCCTCCCCTCCCCTCCCCTGTCCTCCCCTGTCCTACCCTACCCTCCCCTGTCCTCCCCTGCCGTCTCCTCCCCTCCCCTCCCCTCCTCTCCCCTTTCCTCCTCTGTCCTCCCCTCCCCTCCCCTGTCCTCCCCTGCTGTCTCCTCCCCTCCCCTCCCCCCCCTCTCCCCTTCCCTCCCCTGTCCTACCCTCCCCCCTCCCCCCTCCATTCCCTCCCCTTCCCTTTTCTTCCCTTCCCTTCCCACTTACTAAAGGTGCTAACATGTAATTTCACAGGGCTTGAATCTTGTATCAGAAATGACTTAGTCTTAAAGGTAAACAAACACTTTCCTTTATCAGGTTAAAAAGTTATGTGTTCCTTTTGGCTTTTAAATTAAGAAAAACCAAGAACCACAATAAGAACTCTGCTGAGGTGGGGGAGCAGCCCAAACACTTGAGCACATTTTTTTCTTTCATTTGTCCTGTTTCACATTTACCTTGAATTTTTCAAGTTCCTTTGGGAACATTGGTGCTATATACCGTCATGCGTGATGTAGTGACAAGAATGCGTCCTGAGAAATGGTCATTAGGCGATTTCGGCGTGGTGCCAACACGGTAGAGCAGGGACACTTTCACACACCTCGATGGCACAGCCCACACACGCCGCGGCCTGCGGCCCTGTCCCTGTGCTGTGTGGTCGGCCGTTGACTGACACACGTGACTGCATGTGGATTTGTGCTGTGTCCCCTGTCACTGTGCTGTGCAGTCAGCCGTTGACTGACACACGACTGTGTGTGGATTGTGCTGTGCGGTCGGCCGTTGACTGACACACGACTGTGTGTGGATTGTGCTGTGTCCCTGTCCCTGTGCTGTGTGGTCGGCTGTTGACTGACACACGACTGTGTGTGGATTGTGCTGCATCCAGTCTCGCTGGGTGGCGGTCTCCTCTCTGGACGGATCTGGAGGACGGGCAGGTTGTCGGTGGGAACACGTGACGAGGGGACACTGCCGGAAAACAGCACAGCAGAAGCAAGCCAGCCCTGGGGTTTCAGGTCAGAAGAAGCGTAGTCCGATGACGCCCAGAAATACAGAATAAGATGCTTGAAGTGAGAAGCTGCTGCTCGCTGGACGGGAAGGAGAGGAGAGAGCACAGAGTCGCCGAGTGGACAGCTCCCCGTTCTGGGCGTCCCTGGAAGTCACAAACACTGCGCGCATCTATCTCTACGTAGGTCCCACGTGCAGAACCAGCCTGGCCGTGCGAGCCACTGGGGTTCTACCCGAGATCGTCTTTCTCTGGCCCCAGAAACACTCTGTTTGGTGTGTCTGGGGATTGTCACGACACAGTGACCTTGTGGACAGGGACAGCTTGAACCAAAGCAGGGATGATTTGGACAGTGTCTTGAAACACAGGGGAGTGTGGCTATTTCTGCAGGAGAAGGGTGAACAGGTCTTCGTGGGGGGCCACAAGATACGCAGGAGAATGGGAGGGGGTCAGCAAAGGTTAGTGGGGTCATGGTGCAGGTTACCAATGCCGGGCTGAGGGATCTGAACATCAGCTCTCCTAACACGTGTCCAGTCGGTCAGCTCCGCGGATCATCCGTGTTTCTCACTCACCCTGTGTTCACTGATGTCTCCTGTGTCTGACCCTGGGACACAGTCTCCTCTCCCCCAGCCTGGGCACGGAGGCTCCTGCCATCAAGTTCAGGGCTTACCCAGACTCTGTCACCTTTGCTCTAAGCCTGCTTGTGCCTTCATTGTTCATAACTGGAATTACGTAATTTAATGGAATAGAAATTTGAGGAGGAGTGAAGGGGGGTAATTTCTATGGCAGCCAAGTGGAATGCTTTGGAAATAACTGATGACAGTGAGTGCCTCATGTAATCCCCGTTGAGTTAGCTGGGGTGACAGAGAGAAGATACGGACAACTGCACAAGGACCCTCGGCTCAGGTTGCCTCACAGCTGTCAATCGGGCCTTGCTCCCCTTTGTAAACCCTACAAGTCCTGATGCCGTGGGGGTGCAGACGTGTGCACTGCTGGTCAGCAGGCTGCTGAGTTCCCACGGGACCCTGCTCACGGGGACCCTGGCTCCGTGGTCCACGTGCGGCATAACTGTTCAGTCCCTGCTCACAGAGACCCTGGCTCCGTGGTCCACGTGCGGCATAACTGTTCAGTCCCTGCTCACAGAGACCCTGGCTCCGTGGTCCACGTGCGACATAACTGTTCAGGCCCCGCTCGGGGGGACCCTGGCCCCGTGGTCCACGTGCGGCATAACTGTTCAGTCCCTGCTCACAGAGACCCTGGCTCCGTGGTCCACGTGCGGCATAACTGTTCAGTCCCTGCTCACAGAGACCCTGGCTCCGTGGTCCACGTGCGGCATAACTGTTCAGGCCCCACTCACTGAGACCCTGGCTCCGTGGTCCACGTGCGACATAACTGTTCAGGCCCCGCTCACTGAGACCCTGGCTCCGTGGTCCACGTGCGGCATAACTGTTCAGGCCCTGCTCGGGGGGACCCTGGCTCCGTGGTCCACGTGCGGCATAACTGTTCAGGCCCTGCTCGGGGGGACCCTGGCTCCGTGGTCCACGTGCGGCATAACTGTTCAGTCCCTGCTCACGGAGACCCTGGCTCCGTGGTCCACGTGCGGCATAACTGTTCAGGCCCTGCTCGGGGGGACACTGGCTCCGTGGTCCACGTGCGGCATAACTGTTCAGGCCCTGCTCGGGGGGACCCTGGCTCCGTGGTCCACGTGCGGCATAACTGTTCAGTCCCTGCTCACGGAGACCCTGGCTCCGTGGTCCACGTGCGGCATAACTGTTCAGTCCCCGCTCACGGAGACCCTGGCTCCGTGGTCCACGTGCGGCATAACTGTTCAGGCCCTGCTCGGGGGGACCCTGGCTTCGTGGTCCACGTGCGGCATAACTGTTCAGGCCCTGCTCACAGAGACCCTGGCTCCGTGGTCCACGTGCGACATAACTGTTCAGTCCCTGCTCACAGAGACCCTGGCTCCGTGGTCCACGTGCGACATAACTGTTCAGTCCCTGCTCACAGAGACCCTGGCTCCGTGGTCCACGTGCGACATAACTGTTCAGTCCCTGCTCACAGAGACCCTTGCTCCGTGGTCCACGTGCGGCATAACTGTTCAGGCCCTGCTCGGGGGGACCCTGGCTCCGTGGTCCACGTGCGGCATAACTGTTCAGGCCCTGCTCGGGGGGACCCTGGCTCCGTGGTCCACGTGCGGCATAACTGTTCAGGCCCTGCTCGGGGGGACCCTGGCTTCGTGGTCCACGTGCGGCATAACTGTTCAGGCCCTGCTCACAGAGACCCTGGCTCCGTGGTCCACGTGCGGCATAACTGTTCAGGCCCTGCTCGGGGGGACCCTGGCTCCGTGGTCCACGTGCGACATAACTGTTCAGGCCCTGCTCACAGAGACCCTGGCTCCGTGGTCCACGTGCGGCATAACTGTTCAGGCCCTGCTTGGGGGGACCCTGGCTTCGTGGTCCACGTGCGGCATAACTGTTCAGGTCCTGCTCACAGAGACCCTGGCTCCGTGGTCCACGTGCGGCATAACTGTTCCGGTCCTGCGGCAGCAAGTTCTCATCCCCACTGAACCTGCTTCTCCCGGGACTCACGTAGGTACTGTCCAGAAGGAGCCGCTGAGGCTTGTTTTGGGTTTTTTTAGTTATTTTTTAAACATGTATCTATTGATTTTTTTTAGAGAGAGGCAGGGAGAGAGAGATCGAAACATCGATGTGAGAGAGAAGCATTGATCGGCTGCCTCTTGCACACCCCCTACTGGGGATCGAGCCTGCAACCTGGGCGTGTGCCCTGACCGGGAATCAAACCAGGACCTCTCAGTCCATGGGAGGAGGCTCCATCCACTGAGCCACACCGGCTGGGCCGTAGCAGCTTTGAAGCAAGGGA